AATTTTTTGTTTAATTAATTTTGCTTCTAATAATTACCATAAATTACTGCAAAAGTTCATTTGAAAATGCTCACAGCAATGTCATCCGTAACGACTCCATCTTATCGTTCCCTTAGTTTTTAGAAGAGAATTGACTCGATTCGATTTCTTGAATTTCGCTATTTCTACTTAGCTTAAAAACTTTTCATCGCATCTTTTTCATTTCTTTTCTTTCGCCCTGTCAGTCATTTTCACTCGTTCTTGCTTCCAGAATGAAAATTTGTGTGACTCATGCATTTTATTGCCTTGTAAAATAGATATTTTATCAGTTTCCTGTATGGTGCAGTCTAAAAGACCTGAAGATTCCAGAACAATCACGCGGTCTCAATGTTAAATGGGACTGTGCTGCTGCACACAGAAGCCAGCGAAACAAAAAAGGTAAGGGCTTTTTTCACTCGAAAGTTCTGTGTTCGCCATTCGTGAGAGGTGAGCGGGCGGTCGCGTAGCGTTCAAAAGGCCTATTGAGTTTCTTGATTTTATTGAATATCATTTGCTTGAAAAAAGAAACAGGCATATAATCTTTAGAGAGATCAAAATCGGTTGTTTCGGTGTCGATGGCGCAGGAAAGACGACAATATTGAAAATGATCAAAGGCGGTTAGTTCTTCAAATCCTTCCAAACGTGAAAGATTTTAGGTTTCATATTATTGCACACATCTTAAGTATAGGTATCGATTTTTCGCGTGGCCACATTTATTTTGTACGCGCTAAGGACTCATCTTGTATTGGAACTGCTCTGCTCATGAACATATGTACTGCTCACTTTCTAGGGCAGTTAGCTATTTTCAGAAGACCCACGTGGAGTGTTGCCAACGAATGGCTTCTCAATGATCGACATGGATTACAGCAACGAATTCAAAATCAAAGTTTACGATCTCGGAGGACACGAACGAATTCGCGACATTTGGACCAATTATTATGCAGAAGTAAGTTTCTTCACCTGGACCTAATGACCCGTCTAGAGTGGGCTACTTTCGCAATGAGGTCTCCGAAAAAAAAGTTTTTGAACAGTTGTTTCTATGATAAATAGTGGTAATAATCTCAAAATGTCGAGTGGTTAACAAAATTTCGGCCTTGGATGGGACTCGTACCCGTACTTGTGGTGTCCGAGCACCGTTTCCTTTATCCCCGACCTTGATAATGTTCACCCGATGTGAGCCAGTCGAAGTACAAGTCAGCGCTTTTATCTTCGCGAATGAGTCTGATGCGTTTTAACCACATGAGGACGGGTGGAACGCTTGGTCGTTCTATCGACTCGGGATTTGAACCGCGGACCATTCGTGTATGGCAGTACCACTTGCCGCTACACCACCTCATCCCTATAGGAAATAGTACCTAATACAATAGTTTATCGATCGGTTTTTTGATATTAGTCGTTTCCGGGTAATGGAACGTCGATTCCATGTGGAAGTTGAATGCATGGCGTATTCTAACTGAAAGGAGTTCTACGCATTAACAATCTATATAGTTTGTTGTGGATTTATTTAGTTTCGTTTTCAAGTAATATTCTCCTACTTTATTGATAAGAGGCAGATCTGCATTCCAAGCTGTATTCCAGGAACCTCTACAGTATTATGGTGGCAATCAGTGAAATAATAATCGGGACTGTCACTGAAAGGGTGGTTCTGATCCTAATCTTCCTTCAACTGAAGAGGCCTTTCATGCCTTTCTATTTGTCCGGCTGGTAAAGAAATTTGCGTGTGAAGGAAAGAACGATTTTCGTATGTTGGGCTGAAAGCACCCTCAAGTCTAAATACCACACTGAGTGGGTTTCGAATGTATGGCATATCAAGCGAAATCCAGTCATCGCGGGAAAGTTAATCATCTTTGTTCGCTTAGGTATTAATAGAAAATAAGCTAACTAAGTAGGGAAATCAAAGGGTAATTTGCAATGGTTGCCTGGGAGATACGAGGTTTGTTATGATCGTCATCGGGAGTATTTTTTTCTGTCTTCCTGTATCTAACAGGGACCCAATGGGAATGTTAATGCTTGAAAAAGTTCTGGTCAGCGATTGACTCCCAAAATCCCTAGAAAGACTGGCAAACTGGGTACTTCACACATCATGTAATTATGTAACGCAGTGGAAAGAGGCGCTGCATGTCACTCATATTACCTATGCGAACGGAGCCTGGGAAAGCTGACAAGGCCTAAAGTTTTCTTAGGATCAGGAAGTCTCAACCTTTGTCACGGTCTCAATGCTTCCGCGATTCCGAATGGTTGACCGAAAAGCGGCGCGCTCTCCTGGCCCAGTAACTGCGGGAATGTTATTCATCTACCTTTTTGGTAGGTCAACACCTGGCTATGGCTAAGATTGAGGATTATGAAAATTTAGCCGAAAAATAAATCATTTCTGATGTCCAGGTTTTCTCCGAACAACATTTGCCTGGCACTTGACAAATAGAAAATTACTTTGGCCTAGACAAGGTCCTGTACGGAAATAGCGAATACAGTAGCTAAACAGTCTTCCTCCTGAACCAGGTGGAAAAAGTTCTTATGTGTTGTAAAATTACTTTCAGGTCCATGGAATTATTTACGTTGCTGACATTTCGGATGAAAATCGTCTTGATGAGAATTACGAGACGATACGTAAGGTATGTGCCAATGAAAATTCACCACAGGGCTCGTACTCAAGCAGTTCTTTATATTTCTTACCTCGGTTTTTATATTTTTTTCCACTGCCCAATGGAATTTCTTGGGGTTTTTTTTTTGACTTTCTCATCTTTTTTATATGACGGCTCCCGAAAAACATGAATATTATGGACAAAGATCAAAATCAATGTTTTTAGGTACAGCTTCATAGAGGTACTTCCAGAAAACCGTTCCTAGTGGTACTGAACAAGAAAAAACCAACGGAAATGGACGACTTTGACTTCTCGAGAAATGTTAGTGAATTAATTTCTTTAGATCCCCTCTACCCCCTATGCCACTCATGCAAATCGAGAAAACCTATATTTGCCGCTGGATTGAACTAGCACTGCATTCACTTCTAGCCAGGGAACCAACGGGTGTCGGATGGTGGTACTCCCGTGCACAGGGTGACGGTACCTCCCTCCGAATTCCCACAGCAGGCGCCAGCGGTTCTGTGGCTAATACTGCATCCTCCCGATTTGAATCCAATTTTTCCGCTGAGCATTAATCTTTCGCAATTCATTCTCTCACGTCGCGCCGCATGTCCACAGCACTGCGCGGCTTGTTCCAATTCCCGCGTGCGGTAGGCGTCAAATTCGCGCGGCATTCAAACATGCCTCATACTACTACTTGGTGGCCTTCCTCACCACTATCATGAAAAGAACCTCACAATCGGTAATAATGGGATCTATCAAATGCAGATCATCTTCAAGCAAACCCCTGAATGTTAGTTCATCTTATGTTAAGTTTCGCCCATTCAGGCCGATCTCAATGAGAATGGCTCAGCACACGGTCAGATGATCTTCATAACACACGTCAACCAGTACAAGGGCGAGGTAAGGAGATTTTTTCATATCTATACTCTTTCCCCTATTAGGATCCAATGGAATCGATCCTTTGATTTTCCACTTTATTCATGAATCGTTAGAGATATTTGGAACGATTTTTGCTGATGGCCTCTTTCAACCATCTGAGAATACTTCGCATAGATTGTGAATACACTATCGCGAAGGGTCCCTTCTTTTTCGGTTTAGCCACTGCGCGACCGCACGTTACTGTTCGCGTGATTTGTTCGCAGTCCGCTTTCGACGATTATTTCAGAGATGGGCGTTACTAAATGCTTTTTGGCCAATTAGAAAGTACTAGTAGTAATAGAACAGCGTTCTTTTCCAGCAAATGCTTCCATAATCACTGAACATATCATGATGTACCTCTGCAAAGATTACGGATAGAAGTAGAAAGCGTGGCATGTCTT